TATCCTTATTGATGAGTTGAAAAGTAGTGTTCGTTGTTTTTATTCTTATTTTGTTTTACACAGAAACGACAAATCAGAAAACCCTTTTCAGTGTGATATAAGTACAATATAATACACACGCCTTTGCTTACCTTACTTTGATTACAAACACTTTTTTTTCCTACTACATTATTTCGAGAAAACAGAAGAGATGAGAATGACAAAGCCTAACAAGTAAAATTTCAAAAGATTAACCTGATTTTTACGCAATCATAAATGCTTTTATTTTATTTTTCATGCACATAATGTATTTAACATTCATATGTTTTGAACATCAAGCAAGTGTTTTACTCATATGTAATAACTTTAATTTACGTTCACCAGTTTTGTCCATTAAATCACGCATCTCTGTTTTGAATAAATTCAACTTAAAATTAGTTATATAAACAAGAGATAACATTAATTGTACGAATCAAATTCATCCACGTTGTCAGTTATCTTCCTTTCGAAATGATAGTTTACTTGTGGCAACAATGGCATGTAACTTTGGTTTCAAAAATTAGGGGACGTACATTTTTGGTAGATGGAGCATGGGGATAAATTATTGAGAAATACAAAATATTTATTACTGCTGACAGTATCAAACAAGGGAAGATTTTTATAAAACCTATAGACCTAACGTAACGTTTTATAAGGAGTAATGCTGAAGTACGTCTTTATTTTCTTGTGTGTCTAATAGGAATCAATGTTTTAGTGATAAGTGTTAATTTGTCATTTTAAAAACTAATAATATTGATACCGACCTACCAATAAATTTCCTGGTTACCTTTACAGCTAGTTCACTTCTACAAGCCATCGTGTCAATAATATTAAAAATGACGTCAAACTCTCAGCTACTTCAAGAGAGCCACATAGGACTTTTTCGACCTTTAGTCATGACACTAAAGATATTTGTGTTTAGTTTCAATAGCCAGTGTGTAATAGAGTCAAAAACTGTTTCAAAACAGGGTTCGTAAATTTACAGCACTGTACTTACACATTCAGTGTTCCATGATGTCTCACCTTTAACGTTCTGGCACACAAACCATATTTTCTTAAGAAGTTCCATTCTTTCAGTTACGTCAGTACCTACCTTTGACCTTTTAGTACCTTAAGAAACTCCAATCCATAACTTTGAGGTACCTCTCAACCAATTTGTATACCACCTTAATATTAACACGACTCAGAGGCGACATATGGTCATCTCAACCTTTGTGGCCTGAATGTGGATGACGTATCTTCGTCATGAATAACATGATCTTGAATGTGGAAAAGTCACTTCGAGATTACTTTAAGTACTTTTACGGTTTCAGTGTAACTGACACTTATAATGTAACAGCGTCTAAAATAATAAATGCAGTGATCCTGTGCATGTTATTTACCATGTTTCGTTTCGTGAATTTATGTTTCGCATTGAGAGAAAAATTCAAATCTTTCACAAGGATTTGACGGTCCGCAAAACTATCAAGTTTCAAACTTTGAAAGAAGTATTCGAAGCCCGCCAGAGGGTTGACAAGTTAAAATTAGCGTGGGCTAATACTTCCTTCCCAAATTGTTTGCTGCTTTGATACATAAGTATTATTTACTTTAAGAATAACAAGAATTTGTAATACTTTGTTTTCTCCAACAATTAATCTTTGGAGTTTTATCTTCAATATTACTGGTATTTCTCGTTTCTTCTTCGTGTTGCTAGTAATATCTCCTTCAGCCTCCTCAATACGAGCAGCAGCAAGAAACTGTGTACTTGCAGTGAAGACTTACGTCATGTCTAGTATTTACACTTTTGCCAGAAACACAAGTTATTCTAAATTTAATCCAAAACTCGCCATGTTCTACTGATGGTGAATTATTCGAATTACACGAGGCTTTCTGCTGAGGGCTATATATATTCACCTATGTCATTGTGATCGAGATGAATCCAACCGCAGCGACAGCAATATTCGTGTAAAATAATTATTTCTAATTAAAAAAAAACCCGCATTGTTTGAGAAATAACAATATTTTTCGCCGTTAAGATTATCTATAATTTTATCTTACTAAATATTTATCCAATGTAAATATTAAAAAAAAAGATGTTCAGCTTTATATTCCTTACAGTTTGAAGTTCAGAATTGGAACCAGCAGACTGCAGTTACACGAACTAAACGAAGAAAAAAAACGGCAACAGGATTAAATCGTTTGTTTGTAATTAAGCACAAAGCTACACAATGCGCTATCTGTGCTCTGCCCAACGCGGATATCGAAACCCGGATTCTAGCGTTGTAAGTCAGCAGACATACCGCTGTGCCACTGAGAGGGGGGCAATTAAATCGTTTTCCTCAGCCTAAAATTTCACTTGCCACGCTTTTGTACTTTTCTGATTCTAATGTTTGTCAACCAATAAATCAAATAATTCTATAGGAAAAGTGTAAACTTTACCGTTATAATGGCACAGTGTTACATGTATACAATTTTCAACATTTGGAAGAAAAAAAAAGCATTGACATTTACCTAGTCCTTTTTCCTATTTCTTTAATTATAAGTTTGTGAAAATTAGTTTTATGAAATCAGTGAATGCGGATTTTTAACATATGTTCAAAACACACATATATTTAAAAAGAAAGTAAAATCAAGCATCATAAAATAATGAGCTAATGTTTCTGTGATTGTTTTACAACTTTAAAATTTTGGGCAGAATATAATTTGTTTGTTTGTAATTAAGCACAAAGCTACACAATGGGCTATATGTGCTCTGCCCACCACGGGTATCGAAACTAAGATGCTAGCGTTGTAAATCCGCAGACATACCGCTGTGCCACTGGGGGACGAATATAATTTGTTAAAAATACGATTCAAACTTTTTTTTAGAAAAAAAAACATTCTAAAAGTGAGTCAATGTTCAACAAATTTTGATGTGGCCAATTTCATTAATATCTTTTCTAAAGTTAATCATATTTTTATAGCTTAATATAGTCAGATTGCGTTATTTTCCACACCTTCATCTTATGTAAAATAAGTTCAAACATTAACCCAATATTTTATCATTAACTAGTTTTTATACACCTGTTCGAAACAAATAAAACGTTTCGTAAAACTGTGTTGTCATGGTTACGTGTCCCGATTGTCATATCTTTCACGCAGTTATTGCTAACAAGTACGTGTAACGCAGGTGATTTCGTGTTGTACAAGCCTTTACCGTGTTTGTTACTTGACGAGCTCTTCGAAACGTCCGATACACTACGTGTTAGCTAAGTTACTTTTTCTATAATTTCAAATATTGTTACGTCTCTGTGTTCGTTTGTTAATTTTCCGTAGAAATTCTTTCCGAGAACTTCAGCGATACAAGTCCTTTCTTAAATAAAACTAGTTTATTCTTTCTCAATTCAACTTTGCAATATACCTAATTTCCACAGTCACTTTCACTTAACACACACGCTATAATTCACCACGATTCACTCTCTTTACTACCCGCACTTGACTCAATTGTCTGTCTCTGCAATTCTATTCCGATTAATTGTCTCGCTTTATCTGGCGCACTTGTATACAAGAATAGAGGGCGTGTAGAAAAGACTAGAGGTGCCATGAACAGACATGATCCTTCTAGAATCTCATGGCGTGTTACTAACGTCACGAGACTTCCGCTGTCGTAACAATATATATGTTTTAACATTTTTCAATTTGGAAAATGAACTTACGATATTTATATATATATATATATATATTCAAACGATTACAGTTGAAAGTTTACTACTTCTCATCTATAGTTGAGGAAGTGATGCAATAGAAGTTATATTTTTAATTTCTTAAGGTATTAAAGAGTCATTATTGGTAGTTTATAAAATTCAAATAATTATAAAGTTTTATTACTTTGTTTTCTCACTACAAGCACAGTACTGAAGTTTTAGAAAACACGAACATAAAATATACGTATTTTTCAATGATTATCGAATTGAAAGTATTATTTAACTTTTACAAATAAAATAAGTTATCATAATCTCTCGTACGATCTAAAACATTTATTATAAAAATCGGTGATGTGTTGTCTCTTTAGACTAGTTAATACAAACTCTTCGAAACGTATGCACCCTATACGTCAGACACATTCTTTTCGAAAACGTGAGGCATAGCTTTTGCAGTTGTTCTATTATATAATACTGTATTTAGTAGCTCCATGATAAATATCACACAGTTAAAGTAGTTTATTTCACGTGTTACAAAATAGTTTAGGATGAATAATAATGGTGTCTATCAACTTATCTTTTTGTTATTATACCTTTAAGATTTGAAAGTTTTGCTACGTATGTTTTTCCAGAGTAAACAACAAAAAAGAAGACACTTAAAATGGTGTGCCCTTCTGATAGAAGGATACTGATTGATTAAAGGTGCACAGCTCGAGCATGTGGTTGGAGAGTATTTTGGCGGCTAGCAGCATCGCGCTGTTCTGTTTTTAACTTTGACATTAAAAATATTAGTGTTTCGTTTGAAAAATAATTTTGTGAAAAAACAACAACTAGATTTTCACAAAAACAAAATTGGCCTGGCATATGAACAGCATTCTGCTGGTATTGTCATAATCGATAGTACATTAGATTTACTTTTGTGGAATAGAAACTGGGTTGCTTAAGTATAGTCCGTAAGTTCCACCGTAGTACTTACTCATCACAACCAAGTACTATTTTCTTCAATTTTTCAGACATTAATTTAACAATATACATTTTATCACTTTAACAATATATGTTTTATCCTTTAATTTAAGAGAAAGAGAGAGAGAAAAAACATAATAATTTACTACCATATCAGCTAGTCATAAAACACAAAAAAGTATAACGATACATGACTAATTCAATGTCAACGCCATTATAGGTATTGTTTCACAGACAGTTAATTTTATTCTTTACGACTTGAATAAGCATTATTTATTTTTTCCTAAAAAAAGATATTATAAATATCATAAAACAAATCGTTAAAACTCCTTAATTACAAAATTAAATGAATTACAACAAAGGAACTAATTGTAACTCTTTCACTTGAAATTGCAAAGTAGCCACAAAGAGATATCTTATGATCTGTTATAAATTGGACACCATTTTAGTAAACCCATCACGTCCCAGTGACTCCACTCGTTAAAGGTATCAATAATTTATCATTCACTAGTGCACTAGGTCAGTCAGTTGTTCATACAAAATGTTGATCTACATTAATCTGTACAAGAACATCCTGATATTTCTCATCATCGATACAATTAATGCCAAAAGAAAAGAAAAAAAATCTCACATAAAACACAACTTTTAAGTATCCAGAAATGTCATTTGATACACAATGACACATAAGTAGAAAGAAACAAACACTATTCAGGTTTTTGAAACTATTTCATACAGAACCCACCTATCATAATATTGGAATCAGTTTAATTACTCCATAATGCCTTACAAACACACTATTTTATTATGTACAAGTAACAAAGGGATTATTCTTACATACAATATAAATTACAAATGTATGTATACATGCATGTTTGTATATACATACATACTTAGTGTAATCCCTCACTAAAATTTTATTACAGGAACTTAGCCATACTATGTATGATACATATAATATTACAAGTTATAAAACTAGTAATTTTCAGATATTTAAATAAACCACTACATTGTTAAAACATATATATATATGCATGTTTGAGATTAGAAATGAACAGAAATAAGAGTCAATGTTTAATAGCTCTATTTTGTTTTGTCTTTCAACAAAGTTTCAATTAGGATTAAACAATATAATATTATAATTTGTTAGTAATGTTACTTGGTAGTCTCTATGCTAAAATAGTGACTAATTGGCCTAATTTGATTTGTTTTGTTTTTGGACACTTTCCTTGTTTTACGACCAGATATGCATGATTTAGATTTTAAGATAATTTGAGATTTTTGAATACCTGAATGGCAATTTGAGTTCAAACTAGAAAATACTACACCACAGTCTGGCTCATTTTCTACTGTTAACTTTTTGGGCATTTCATTAACTTTGAGGTCTAAGTTTATGTTTTCAGCAAGAACGTCCACTTTAGTTGAGCAGCTTTTTGTCAACTCTACTTCATCAAGATTCAAACTTCTTCTTGTTTGCTTCAGAGGAAGAGCAGTTGGAGACACAACATTTAGTTTCACTGGAGAGAGTACACGAGAGTGTTCTGGACTTTGCACCACCAAGACGTCTTCAGAACCACTTAGGTTTTCTTGGTCTTCTGAAACCTCATTTAACAGCTTGCGTTTTCTAACTAGTTGGGATTTCTTGTCTGTAGCAGTATCTACTGCTGTTGAAAACACTTCAGTAGGTGTTTTATCCAAGGACGGCAGACTACTCTTAGAATGGGGTGTTGTTGTTACTTTTGAACAACTTTTACTTCCTAAGTTTTGTGAAGTTCTGGGAGAAAACCATTTAGTGATGGTTAGAGGGGTTCTTGCAGTCTTGGCATCTTCCAAAGATTTGGGAGTTCTTGGAGAAAACCAACTGGAAATAGCTGGAGAGCTATTGATATTTTTGCTGTTTCCAGGAGTTTTGGGAGTTCTTGACAAAACCCCAATATTAGAATCAGGAGAAAAGGTACAACTTTTCCTGTGGTTTACTGGTGTGGATGGAAGATTCATTTTATCCAGAAAACTGGGCTTTTTGATAACTGGCAAAAAATAGTATGTACAATTATATGGAAAAATATCTATCTGAGGAAAAAAGTACTATAATAATTTTCTAATATTTTAAGGGTAAAACACATAACAAAAACAATTTTGTTGCTAATAGTCAGTAACTGGTTTTACAAAGACATAAAACATAATATACTGTCTCTTATTACCTAGAACAATTTCCTTTTTGAATTAAAATTGACAAAGTTAATACAGTGCCAAAATAATAAACCTTAATCTGTAGCATACTCTGAGGAAAAAAAAAAGATAAAAGTTATAAATCTAAAAAACCAATAAAGATATTCATAATTTGTTAGTTGGACTAAGTTGCCTACATTTATTTATGGAATGAGTTTTTCTGGGTCAGTTGGCTCCAACTTAGAGCAAGTGTTTCTAGACATTGAAGAAGCTTAGTTAAAAAATACTCCAGTTTAAACTTGACAATGACAAATGCTGAAGTTACAGTTTATGTTTCATATTTAAGATTTGTCTGACAAACTTAAATTTAATAATCATCAGAGAAAAGGTAAAAACAACATAATTTAGTGATATTTTGTGGTAATACAAGTTACAGCTGCATGTGTATGTCTCAAATTTCACACTTGTGCAAGTGGTAATCAACTCTCATTCAAAATACACACATACACATAAATATGATTTTTTTTCATATAACTTAAATTTATGAAGTGTTAAACTATGATTTCAGAAAGTTAGTCTACCCATCAATTTCATAACCAATGACTAAGTCATGTGAAAAACATGCCCTGGATAGGTCTCAGAAAAAGGGCCTACTTTAATTATAAGATACATGCAATACAGAAAAACTAAATTTGTAAAATGGTTACTGCTATAGACATTAATATTTGATGACTTACAATAAAAGATTATTAAGTATATGCTTTTCATGGTGGCTTGTGCTTTTATACCTCATGTCACAGAGAAAAGCTTCTGTTCGTTTATACCAGCTTAATATTGTATTGCTATTTCTACTTAAGTTTTATTACAGAACATATTTACTTAGTTTTAAATCATCCAATATTTCATTGTAGCCCTCACCTGTTACAAACAATCAACTTTATTAAACCTGATAATCACCAGAAGAAGTGGACATATTTTACTTCAAACACATCAACCAGTTAAAAGATAATTTCAATATAATTACCCGATGAATCAATTTTCTCTGCTCTTCCTTCAATGATGTGAGTGCCATTTTCTGAGCATGAATACTGCTTTTCTACATTTTCATGGATATTCCAAAACAAAACACGGTCATCATCTCCACAAGTCACTATCTGCAATTACAAATTGGTTTAAAAAAAGATATTCAAGCATAAAATTTGAGCAAAGGATAATTCACACATGTACTTTTAAAAGTTTCAAAAATAAAATTTGTTTAAAACTTTGTGGTCTTTGAAAACTATGATAACCAAAAAAAATATGAGGATTATACTACAAGAATTACAGGCAGTGTATCGACAATCAGACAGGACATAACATATCTTAGAGATTTACAACACAATATATTGCACCTTACGGCTAGAACAATAATTTTAAGTACAATCAATAAAACTTAATTTTTTTAAAAGTACAACTAAAATTTGTTAAGGATCTCTAACATATTTCATATTACTCATCACCTAGCAAAGATCCCATTTGTGTGTATACTTTGGTATAAACAAATCCTACATGGTATCTTAAAAAATTGCCAAACTCTCATAAGTACCACTGACCTACATAACTTTTTGATAAAAATAACCTACACAAAAATGACAAAGTAGTAGTATAATGTGAAATAATCATGACATTTCATGGCACAACCGAGTTATTTGATTTGTATTTATTTATTTTTCAAACAAATTAAAACTTTACATGTTTCTTTATTTGTGCTAGTGAAAAAAGTGTAATCAAAAATAAAACATAATACACCCACCTTAGAAAAATCATTTGGACTCCAAGCTACAGTGGTAACTTCTGCCCTGTGACCACATAGTCTGCTAATTGGAGCTCCCGGAGAAGAAACCTGTTTATCAATCAACTGATCACACTTCTTATTTATACTGAAGAATTCTGAGACTTTAAAAAAAATTCTATAATAGCCACAGAGTAGCACATAAAATGAACCAGCACTTTCCACCACTTGGGATTTCTTCTTTAGAACTAATCAAATATAATTTTATATTTCTGTAGTTTCATTACCGCACAACAAATATAAAGCAACAAATAAATTAGACTGTTTTCACAACAATGAATATTAAGATTTGTGAAAATTCAAGTACCAATTGTTATTAAAACAGCAGCATATTATGTCAAAACAAATTATCTGTATCAACAGTCTGTGGTCTCAAATACACCTATGTCATGGTATAGAAAGAAAACAGCACCATTTTGGTATTATCAGAGGCTGATTGTCTGTCTGCATTACATTAACACTTTGAAAAAATACGCAAAAACTAATGTTGTATACACACATACATGCACACACAATAAAAAAATTCATAAAACATGTACCTAAAAATGTTCATGACTTAAAAAATAACTAAGATTACAGACATCTATATAGCTTGCAATTCTTAAAATACAAAATCCATGATCAAATGGACCCGTGTGACACTTTTCTGTTTCTGGTAATAATGTCAGTTCTTACTTTTCTGTGCCAAAAAGGATAAGAAAGGTACTGGTACACCTTAAAAGTTAAAAAATCACCTTTGAATGAAGACATTTTAGTCAAGGTCGCTTTACAGCTACCTTTGAGATTGTGTCAACATTTAAGTACAGTCCAATAACAACACTGAGTCGTGCATCAGTGATCACACATTAACATACATTACCATTAAATAACCCTTCAAAGTTAAACAAGCCCAAGTTTTACAACTATACAGTTTGAGCTAACAAAAACATTAGCAATACCATATATATTTTATATTCATGTTTATTTTAAGTTGAGACTTATATTTAGAATCAATTTACATTCTTATCAAAGAAAATTCAAGTAAATTATAATTTTCAGATGCAGCTTTCCTGGACTACATGAAAAGCTTATACAATTTTCGTGCAAACCTTTGAGGTGAAAAATGTCTATATCAGTCTTATTAACCAAACTGATTTGGTTATAGAACTAAGAAAATATAGAATATAGTGATTAAGTATAATATTTGCTTTAACTTGTTTTTACATATACATACATACATACATATAATTTTAGGATAAAAAAGGACCTGTTGGTCCATCTAGGCCTTCCAATCCACTAATCTAAAGTTAAAAAATAACACACTCAATGTCAGCCCTTATCATTCAAATATTTATCGAGGCTTCCCTTAAATTAATTTACATCCATCAAATCTGAAAGCAACTTGTTCAAAAGGCCAACCACCCTGTTTGAAAAATAAAGGTGTCTTAGCTGAAGATATATTAATATGCATAAACAATATCAATTCCATTGATTATCTTAAACATCTCAATTGAATCCCCTCTAACTCACCTATTGTCAAATGAAAACAATTTCTTTGATCTGAACCTGTCCTTATATGACAGCTTTTCCATCTCGAGTATCATCCTAGTAGTCCTCCTACAAACCATTTCCAACAATTCATTGTCCTTCCTAACATAAGTAGACCAAGACTGAACACACACATACTCCAAATTTGGTCTAACCAATGATCTGTGCAATGTAATTATAATTTCTTTAGACTTAAACTCAATATTTCTGGAGATACAACCTAAAATCCTATTTGTTCTACCACTAGCAACAGCACACTGCTTGGATGGCTTAAGATACTGATCAAGCATTACACCAAGACCCTTTCTGTCATGACACTGATAAAGTTATTCCCATCCAAATTATACTTATAATTCAAATCATGATATCCCATATGCATTATTTTGCATTTATTATAACTGCAGTCTGCTGTTTATTTGCCTAACTTGCCAAATAATCAAATTATTTTATAAAGTAGCAACATCCTCCTCACAGCCAGCAATACCCAAAACTGTAATCAGCCAAATTTTGAAATTTGTTAAATAACTCTGCAAACATCTTTTATCAGACTTTGAAAAGCTTTTCCCACCACAATTAATATAATACTGATACAATTTTTATCATCTCCTTCGAAAGGAGTAGTAACACTAGCCAACTTACAATCTTCTGGCACCTGCCCATTAGAAAAACTAACATGTCTCACAATAGTCTAAACCCAGCTCACATTCTACCTGAAAAAGTTATTTCTATAGGTCTGGGGGATAAGTTAGCAAATTGGATAGAACAGTGGCTGGATGGAAGAAAGCAGAGGGTTGTTACAAATAGAGTTCAGTCAAACTGGGTTAATGTCACAAGTGGGGTACCTCAAGGCTCAGTCTTAGACCTTTGCTCTTTTTTTATTTCCATCAATGATGTAAATGAAGGAATAGTTAATAAGTTACTTACATTTACAGACAATATTAAGGTCTTGGGTGTTACGAGCTGTGAAGAAGATGCTGCTGATTCACAAAAGGATTTAGATCATTTAGTGAGTTCGGCAAATAAATTGTAGATGGGTTTTAATTATAACAAATGCAAGATAATGCATGCGAGTTATCATAATTTGAATTATAAGTATAATTTGGATGGGAATAACTTTGACAGTGTTATGAAGGAAAGGGGATCTTGGTTTAATAGTCAATCAGTCTCTAAAGCCATCCAAGCAATATGCTGTTGCTGGTAGTAGGGCAAATAGGATTTTAGGTTATATCTACAAAAACGTTGAATACAAGTCTAAAGAGGTTATAATTTCATTGTACAGGTCACTGGTTAGGCCACATTTGGAATACTGTGTTCAGTCTTGGGCTCTTTACCTTGGGTGTGACATTGAATTGTTGGAAAGGATTCAGAGAAGGATTACTAGAATGGTGTCAGGGATAAATGGGTTGTTGTACGAGGAGAGGCTAAAATCTCTGAAATTGTTTTCTCACGAAAAAAGAAGAGTTAGGGGGGATCTGTTTGAGGTGTTTAAGATTGTAAAGGGAATTGATAGTGTTGATGCATCATCTTTTTTTTCATATTTAACAGTGAGAACAGTAGGATTAGGGAACACAAGTATAAATTTTGGCAACGTTGGAGTCATCTGCAGCTAAGTCAGTTTCATTTTTCTAACAGGGTGGTTGGACTTTGGAATGGGGTGCCTTCAGATGTTTAAGAAAAAGCTTGATAAGTATATGAATGATAAAGGCTGGCTTTAAGATTTTTTTTATTACTTTAATTTAGTTTAGAGGATGAAACAGACAAGATGAGCCAATAGATCTTGAGTTGTCCCAAAACATCATGTTATGAAACATAACTTGTTTTTCTCCAACATACTATATATACCAAGTGCTGAAATGCAACATTTTTCTATAACATACTTCACATAGGAAGTGCTGAAACACAACATACTATTCTCCAGCATATTGTACATACAAAAGAAAGAGGTAACAAAGAGTAGATTTTGACTTTCAAAGGTTCAGAACACATTACCATAACTACAAATTTATATTTGACTGAAAACCCTTTTATTTTACAGGCAATCCATATACGTATTTTAAAACTTTTCTATAAAGATTTTATTTTATAAAACTGTAAATTTTATTAGTTTTGACTTGAAAAACACAGAATACAGTTTTACTGTGATAATGATCATTGGTGTACATAAAAATAACTTTTTATCATACCAAAATTATACAAAAGCCAACTTTTTTCTTTAATTGTTAATCTGAAGGTTTCATTTAATATGCATAAGTCTTACACCTATTTCATATTCACTTATAAATACATATATATATATATTTTACATTACTTTTTGGTGACCATACTTGCCTGTTCAAGAAGTTAGGTAAGCCAACAAAGCCTAATGTAAATAAAAACTAACACAACAGCCTTTCTGATGAAACAAAACTTGATACAGTCAAATACAAAATGACTTAACTACAATTTCACTAAGCCTACTTCAACTTGTTCCTCAATAAACATTTTTGTCTTATCACACTGCAACATTAAATAAAAAGTAATAAGCTAAAACAAGCTTTAGAAAAATCAGGGTTGTAACTGTGATGGAAATTGTTCACAAACATTTTTTTTTTCTAGCAACATATCACCAGACTAAGCTTTATCACTTTGTTCCAATCGCTACACAAATCTCCACTGAATTGGAAGTTAAATTAGCTTATACATTTGAAAAGAATAGAAGACAAGCTCTCATTACATGTTTTATACCACTAACCTATGACTTCTTGAAGCTAAGAAATAGGAGTTAATATTACACCATCACAAGCAAGGTTGAAAAATAGTGATTGACTAAAAATAAATTGATAAAATTACACTTGTATTCAAGTTACAAGGTCAAATAGCTATATTTTTACTCAATACTATTATTTTCCTACTAGGGAGCTAAAAGTGCCATATTATACTACAAATTCATGAAATTCACAAAAACTAATGATTTCATTTGGACACTGAAATCAACCTAAAAATCTACATTCTTAATTTTATTATTTTTATGTATAAAATTATACACAATACTTTCTTGTTACATAAATTTTACCTGTCAAGTTAATTCTTTAATCTGTAGAAGAAAGACTCCAAGTTTATTTTCTATGGTCTTTAAATTCAGTAATGTTATTTTTCCCTTGAGGCAGAATGCACCCATTTGAGTACGATAGTTACAAAAAATAACATGCTAATAACAAATTTTAAAACAATTCACCCTGGTATTCTATCAAAATTAAATCTAGGGTGGAGCTTCAAATTTCATAGGGAAAATATATTTGTAAGGCTTTATTCCTGTACTGTGTCTGTAGTGCTAAATAGAAAAACAATCTTTACGTTTGTTGATAGTAAAATGATTGTTCATTCTTGCATTATATTTTTTAAATTTTTAGAAGTCAATAAAGTATTGTACAGAATTAATGCTCATTATTCATGTCCACATTCTAAAATAACTTTTAAAAAATAATTTATTTACTTAGTAAATTACAATATTATGATATCTCAAACTTTTAGAAAATGATCTATATACTTCATTACACAATCTGCCTGACACATTAAATCATAGACTATTGATGAGCCAATCAGTCTGACATCACAATCACACAAACTATGGGTGAGCCTACAGCTTATTTGTGAGCCAATATGCCAGATATGTCACAATCATACATACTAAGGGTGAGCCCATCTCTCTGACACATCACAGTCATACACTGTTGTTGAACCCACACGTTTAGCATAAATGAATATTTTTACCTTTAATATCAAAATCCAAGTAATTTTTTTAAAAGGAACTGTTTGATAACACTAAGCAAACATACCTTCCAAATGTAACCCTTTTCATCACTAGAGCCACTTAAGAGATACTTTCCATCTTGACTTAGAACAGTTTTAACAAATAAAGTGGATGTCAAATGGCCATAGTAGGTAGCCACTATAAAAAAAAAGGGAAATTACAAACATAACAATATCAGAAACCTTACAATCATAAAGCATACTGTACTTAAAGATAAATTGAAAACTATACAGAAGTCAGAGAATTAAAGTTAATGAAGCAAGTTTAAAGATTTCTTGTTTCCTTGAGAAATATTCCAATAGATATTTAAAAAGCTGCAACATCTTACAATAGTTTCTAGTCTTAAAAACTTCATATAATGCCATTGGATAAACCCCTTACTTTAGGTAACACAGATACAGTTTGCTGTTGATGATTTTATTTTGTTAGCTACAGATTTAAACAAGTTCTCATATTTTAAAACATATTTTTAAAAAATGTTAAAATTAGTATGAGTGAGCAATAAGTTAAAAGTGATCATTTTCATTGTTTATTGTGTAGTTATTTGAAATAAAATAAATATGTAAAATGATAAATATTGCCATAGGTTGTTTTCAAAATAACAAAACATCTGAGACAGTGTAAAAATTTTGTAACAATAGAGGTTTTAGCTACTTAGGTATATAATACTGAAGTTTAAATAATTTTTCATTTACTTTCTAATAGCCTTCACATCTTAGAAACAATATTTTTAATAATCTCAAAATAAATTCTAAAGTTTTCAACAATGTTATATTCCATAATGTCATTGAAACATCATACTAACATGGCCATGGATCAAAGGATGAACAATTATACTGGTAAATTATACTGTCTGTGCAGCTGGCAAACAGACAGCTTCTGGAAGGATGAAGGGCAAGGCTAGTAAACCCTGTAATTTAAGAGTTCAAAGAATTAGTTAGATAGTGGAAAGTACCTAACAACTTAAATACACACCAAACAAAATATCAGTTGTTTTTCAACCAAACTTCTGTTATAATTTTTCTCTTTGAAAACATTTTTACATTTACTTTTAAAAAGTGCCACTGAACGTTTAAGAGAACTCAAAAGTTCAAAATGATTATCATTAAGCTCAAAATGTAACAAACTTACAAAATACATGTCTTCCCAGCAATTGTATATGAAGTAATTTAATTCTAAGACCCATGTGTTTAAAACTGAAGGAGTTAGTACATTACATCCAAATACCTTCATCTATAATTATGCAAAAAACACAAATATATATTGCATATAGTCATTATACAACTTTTTTTTTTTAGTGTAAGTAACATTAATTATTTTGTGAGTTAATATTTTATGATTGTTTAGTGTATTTTTTATAATAAGAGAGTTAAAAGCAAATGATTGTTAGAAGTTGTGTTTATAATTCATTGATGTTGAGTCTATCGATTTTTGCGTTCAATACATTGAAGTTGAGAATAGAGAGATTTCTAGAAGGTGGGCAGACAATTAAGTGACAAGCATGTAAATAGTGTGAGATGAGCAGAAACAGCAGACAGACAGAGCATACAAGAAAGTAAAGTCACGGTAAGTGGAAGTTCGGCCAAGGAAAGTTAAATGTAAAGTTAACTGCTGTAGAAGTGATAGGCCTAATGAATAACATAGGCCTAGCATTTAATATGTTAGAGTCAAACTAACAGTTTTAAAGGAGATAAGAAAAATAATTTATTCCATCAAAGTGTGGTTCTAAAGTAAATGAATCAGCCTGAGTGCATTTTGACAAAAGGAACAGAGGATATTTTGAAGAAAGAAGACTAAACAATTACTGGAAGAGCAGTATTCATCTGTGGTAACTCACCCCACAATTGTAAGTGAATTATACGCAGAATACTAGTGCGATAGAAATAGAGAAAGGTAGTTTGGTTTGTCAACAGAAATTCTAAAGCAACTGAACAGACCTCAGTGGACTTTTGACAAGAAGAAGAGAACTATATACAGTTTATGATATGCCTATAATATCTATAGTGTAAAGAATTTGTTGTACATACGTTTAACTTCTTCCAAATATATATATTATTTTGAAAACAAATGGAGAGCATGCTGTTCATTTATTGTCAAATTTATTGCCAACAAGTCATAGACACCTACTGTAGAAGAATCCTATGCCCAACAATAACAACAACACATTATATATATTTATACTATTAAGAAGTATAAGTAAGAGCCTTTAATTGACCATTGGTGAACATAACTTAACATCTGACACACATAATATTAAATTAAAAGAAAGAGCAAGTTGAAAATGGTAATAATGTAATGACTTACACGATTTACTAAAATGTAAAATCTGATACTAGTGCTAGTTTTAGTATTCCCAAAATTTTTTAAACCTCCAAATTTTCTTATTCATACAGAGTTGATGAAATCAAAATGTTAGATTTAATAAAATAATTGTTTACTTTTTAAAAACACGCTCATATAAGTAAAAAAATTCATGAACCAAAACATGTATTGAGTTAAAGCTTATGTTGTTTTTCCTGATAAAAAGAAAAGAGAAACTTAAAGTACCCTTCATTCTTTTTTTTACTTTTCCTATGTTTACCAAAAAATGATTTGATATAATAATGTTTGCTAATTTTATGTGTTCTGCATTTTATCAAAATACCTGTTCATGGTTATACATTTTAACTTCAATGTACACTTGCACTATAATATATTATTTAACTGTTTTTTACAGACTCTGTTAAGTTATCACAAGTTCTTACCATGTGTTTTTATGCTCTCTCCACAAAAAGGAAGTCTATACCTTGGAGTCGCTTCCTTCTTGTGTGCAGAATAAGTTTTCCTCAAATCCCACACTTTAATGACACTGTTAACAGAAAAATATGTATAGCTGTTGTACATTTACAGTATTCACAAAAAACACAAATGACAAAAGTCAGGAAAAGGAAAAATAATAAATAGCACATTACTCAAATATTCTAATGACAAAAATCAAAGAAAATGATACATAACTGAATAAAAAAAAACTTTTGAAATAAATATAGTTTCTTTACAAAATAAATTGAAGGCATCAACATTTTAAATTTCACGTGTCTCATTATTATAAGTTATTTTACTACCATACAGCCCATTAACTGTTTGAACTTTAACATAATAGGAGGCTGAATACAACAATAAAAATTATTTGCTTTTACCAAATTACAACAATATCCAAACTCATTCTTCTCCTCTAAGTAACAAATATAAAATTACCCCAAACCCTAACCTATTCTGTTGGTATAGAAGTAAATACAAAAATCTTTCCTTTATATGTTTCTTCAACACTAATGGTGATACAATAAAGAAAAAAATTTAGATAAGTATTATGCCAGGTATAATAAGCTGTAAGAAATAAAATATAAGTAAAAAAATAAAGGTAATTTAACATAACACATGTCTAAATTATTATTTTATCATCCCTTGAAAATTAATTATACACCAAAGAGACAAATAATACAAATTTAGAATACCCACAGTTTTACTGTGTATTGCTGTGCATACCTAGTTTCACATGCTATCAGAAAATGTGGTTAAAACCTGTTGTGAAATAGGGATTTAGATATAAAAATGTTCTTCCCTAAAAAGTAAAAAACTTGGCCAACTTCTGTCAAGCAAATTTGCTGGCAATTACAATCATGATCAGTGTATCAAAGTAAATGTAAAAATTATACTTCTTACACATTAGTAAAATTAAACAACAGCTTTCAACAAGATTAAAAGAACATTTTATAGTTTCCTCTAAAGATATTGAAACATGTGGTTAAACATAATCACTCCTTTGAGTTTCCAGATGTTGAAATAATTGATAATGAAAATAATATAAATTTTACATTTTTTTTTTTTAAGTCTCTACCTTTTATTATATAGCTTGTTTAAAAAAAAACAGAGAGGGGGAGGCAGGGCCTGGCAGGTGACACTTATTTTAAAAGTTTTTAATAAACCATTTGAGTAGTTCCTAAAACTTTGATTTTCAACCTACAAATTAGTTTTTCTTTCCTTTCCTCAAATTGCAACATTTGTTTTTCTTCTATGATAACAAATGCTCCAATGTTAAGAATGGCTAAATATTTAGTATTTTATTTTCTTTCTTTCTTTTTGGAGTTAGTTAATACTATGTATATTCTTATAAAGAAATAAAAGATAACCAAATTAAAGTTAAAATATTTGTTTACTCATTTATCACATTATTTTAATATCTATACAAAACAAAAAATAGCACATTAGGAACACATACACACAAAGAACTCCTCAAACTCAAAAAATTAACCAAATAATTTTAAAATATCTAACATTTATCAGCAACATCATTTTCAGCATAATTTGTTGTTTGGTCAGCTTTTGCTTTATTTTCTGCCTGAATTGATATGTCTGCACCAGAATAACATAAATTAAGCTTTTAATGTTAAAAGAATGATTATATAAATACATAATGGATATCAAAAACTTTAAAAGAGTTTTTGTTATTTCAGTTTGAACAAAGGGCATATTAAACATAATAATTAATTTACCCATCAGCTGTTCCTGAGGATACTAGCAGATTTTCATCTTGAAATACAAGGGAAGTTACACTATTCAAAGGGTTCTGAAAAATAAAACACAAATACGTATTCTGAAAGTTGATAACCATTTTCTAATGGTCATTCTTTTAATAAAAAATAATAATTTAAAACAAGCAAAATCTCATAAAAAATACTAAGCTGTTTTTTCAAACCTTGCTTAAACTTTTAGTAATTTATTATGTTAACTAATGTAAAAATATTACATACTTTCAACCAATGATTTCCTATAAAAAATAAAAATCAGCAACAACAGAATGATTTTTTTACTTTCTTATGAAGAGATAACCACTTAATTATCAAACATATATAAAGTTTTGAAACAATATTTGTGCAATAATACTAATAAATTTATTTTGGTACAGCATTTCGTCTCTAACAGTGAGACAATCATGTACAACCTTTAAAGTAAAAATATGTTCATATTACAAATACAACAGCCTTGAGGAACTGCCTGCATTCAAGTCTAAAGCCTAACAAGTTTTTATCACTAATTTTTGAAGTCCTCTAAAAATCATTAAGAGCCTTCTTTGTAACAAAACAATATCGATTTGGGAAGGTTTGTTTAAAATATTTTTGTCTGTCAAATCAGTTATATTATCCAGTCTTTCTGAAGTGACAAACTTTTCTAACAATTCCTCCATAATAACAAAGAGATCTACAATAATAAAATGTAACATTGGTTTATCATCTTGAAATTCTTAGAGAAAAAGTTCAATATCTCTTTTAACTGAGATAATAAAAAAAACTATGCTTTGGGGTGAAGAGATGGGAACTATCAGTACCATCAATTGACTTTAATTTTGGTGGGGTTTTCGGCACATTCATGCGTGTTTCAAAATAAGCGACCAGGAGCACTATTCCATAACAATGATGTTCTTCAGCCATTGGTGATTAATAACTTTGGTGGAAGGTCCAATCATCCAGCCTCACTTTTGAAGTCATCAGCTCTTGCTGGTGAACTGAGGTTTGTGATAACAGGGAAATAGCTTGTCAAACAGATCAGTGGCAGTAGCATGTCCTGAGAACTATGAATTGATGTATCGTGTGGAGTTTTTTCATACCAAAAGTGAGTATGAATGTCACATCTTGAGGGACTTGTCAAGCTTTTGTCAAACAAAGGAATATACCCATCATACTTTTGGACATTCTCTTTCAGTATGGAAGTGAAATATGGAGCTAATCCATGTACGAATAAATATGATGCTTGGTCTTCACCATATGTGAAAACTTTTAGACAATTTCACTATCAGGGAATGTACTCCTGAAAGGCTCTATGATCCTTTCATTTGAATTAAATGAACCATGGCAGTCAGTAGTTCTCAAGGTCCATAAAACTTCTGATATTAAAACATCAGTAAAAGAAACAAATGACTAGATGCAGTAGCAGTCATGCTGGTAGTTTTTTTTTTGTTTTTTTAAGATGACTGGTTCCTATTCAGGTGCTTTGAAAAAGGTGCAGATAATAGTATTGTTCCTGGATACTGCCTTCAACGATTTCATGTTTTCTGCATATTTCTTGCTTGATTCTCCCATGTTGCTGACATGAAATGAACTTTGGTATGGTTTACATCATGCTTTACCATGGCATGAAAAGCTTTCTAACCATTCCTGGTATTTTTTTAGTTGAAAACTAGCTTGATTTAAAACTACACTAGCCTGGCAATTTGCTAACCTGCAGGGGGATG